GTATACAATACTAACTGAAGTGATAGTCCATAACTAGAGTAAAGCGCATAGAATTCCATACAAATACAAAAAAAAACAAACCATTGCTTTCCTTACTAATTATTGAAATATGAACCTGCACGTAAAATAATAAAAAAAAACCGTCCGAGCAAAAAAACCCGTCAATCCCACTTTCTAAAAACTCCGTCCAAACTTCGGAAAATCGCAAAAAACGTGGCTAATAAACCCAGGGCAAATCGCCACCTCCCCCACCTAAACTCCATCTCCAGAATTATTCGACCTCCCCGCACTCCCACCCGTACCCGAAAATACACCTAACAGATCTAGATCACCATGACCATGACTGTCCCCACGGCCCGCCGAAGGGGGCGTCGGTCCTCCTGCAGAGAGATAATCCAACCACGAGTTCGGATTTGAGGTACGCGTGTGTGACTGACGAGAGTGAGGGACACTATCACGTCTTTCAGATGACGGTGTAGATGACGATGGAGAACCAGGCCATCGGATTTCGGGTATAGACACGGAAGATTCGGAATAACGACGAGGGAGGTGTTGTTCAGGTCCTTCTTGCGGGATTATCAAACCTAAGCCCATAGGCTGAGCAGGTGGTGGTGGTGGTGGTGGAGCGTTCAAGTTGGCCTTGAGAGCAAACGGATGTGGCAGCTGCGGATGCCCCCCCTGTAAGTGTGAATGCTGTGCCAGCGAGATTCCAGTTGGGGGTAACATTGAAAATGGAAGTGAAGGGGGTTGTGGAGGTGGGTACGAGTAAGACGAAGAGCCTGCCGGGTGCCCTGGGTGGTAATACGAACTTGAAACTGGAGTTGGAGATCCATAAGAGGAACTTGGGCTAGGATTTGGTGGAGGTCCATTGTCTCCGAATATAGCTAACAAGTCTTCGTAACTTCTCTGTTGTTGTTCTTCTCGATGATGCTGCATTTGTTGATGTTGTAGCAACAGATGACGGTACGCTTGGACTGAGATTTCTGTGTCGCCATCAATGTCACGATCTGTATGTGGCGGAGAAGGAGGGGCTCGAGGCCCTCGAGGGAAGGGGAGAGACATGAAATTGTGACTGTATGGACCATGTAATGGTATTGTAGGTTTGGGGAGAATTATCGCTGACGATGGTATCTCTGCTGAGGAGGATTTAGGGGTTGAAGCTGGGGATGGACTGCGTGTCGGGGAAGGGGTCGAAGACAGAGAAGAGCTTGACAACCGCTTTCGTGTACGTTTCGCTTTGGAGCGTGCATGTTTCTAGACGAATCGAAGGCTTAGCCAATGATCAGAATGAAAAAAACAGGAACGAACCTTTCTCTTTTTCGGTTTTACTTCCTCCTCTGATTCAGAATCGTCATCTGAAGCTTTGGATCCGTCATCGCCTTCCTCCTTCACACCCCCAAAATCGCCTGGCCCCTTGGAGTCCTTGTCACCCGAGTACTTTAGGTATTTTTTTGAAATCTCTTTCGCTCCATGGCTAGATGAACAGTATTCGTAAAGCTTTGTTGTGGGATGTGCAGAATGAATTTTATGATCTTCTCGGCCGATATCGCGTTAGGCATCGATGCTTGACAACGGGGAGGGACTGGAGACGAACCGAATATGATAACCGCTATGTCGACACTGCACAATACACCCAACTCGTACGCTTTTTTGAATAGACCTGTTTTACGCTGGTGATAGGTTGTAGCGAGAGAGAGCGAGAAGAGACAGACGGGGTTTTATTAGATTTTATTTTTAGGGTCGCCAAGAGCCAAAGCCAAGACAAAAGTCAGTATAAATAGTAGTGGAAGGAGGTCTTTACTTACCTTTAAGAAGGTTACTGAACGGTTCCGTTCGTGCTGTTGTGAGTGAAAGAAGAGAAGTTTAGAAAAAAAAAACTGGAAAGGGGGGGAGGAGGGGCGAGAGGGACGAATGCGTACAGTAATCGGCGTAATTTCAATTTTTCTGCGTCCCATGATTCTTGGTGTCTGTTGAGGGTCCTCTTCGCGGGAGAAGATACGGAGAGGGTTTAAGAGGCCAGGCAATGGAAGAAGAGACAAAGAAAAGGGAATTCTGAACGGGCTCAGAGAGGGTTAAAAATAGTTCCTCTCGACTGATTACTCCGTTCACAGGGCCGCAGTAACATTCTGCCTTGATGCTTTGCCTCTAGGGTTTATCGCGTGAGACTCTGTGAGACGTGGCAACGCATTAACCGGCTCCGTGAGAAGTGTTGCCGTACATCCGCCGTTCACCGGCTTATTATGGGGTTAAAGCGTTGCCGAAGTGATATCGCCGGTTTAGCTTAGTGGTAGAGCGTTGCACTTGTATCAGGCTTTGCGCCTGTTTCAATGCAAAGGTCGGTTGTTCAATCCAGCCAACCGGCATAGGTACATCAACTGGGACTTTTTTTTCGGTTATCCCAACGGGGGCATCCCAAACCATTTATATGTGGGCACTTGGTATCTGTGGCGTCGGTGAGAGCTCACCCAAAGTGCTATGACCTCAATACAAAGCTGCAAAACCTTCGAAAAAAATAAATCACGGAGCCGGACGTGTATCCAAAAATAAAGTTTTGAACCGATCGCTTTCTGTGCAGATGACGACCCATTTCTTCACAAACGTCCCAAGAAGCGCTACACAATTCCCAAGAAATTGAAGCCACGAGCCGCGCGAGATAATAGACGTGTGAGAGAAATCAAAGGCTGATGAGTGAAATGCGAAAGCGATAACAAAATTAACAAACTAACATTCAAAGCTCATTCACCTCGAACGTGAGGGTAAACAATCGCGGAAAAGTTGGAAAACAAGCTTTTTTTCAAGACGTAAACTCTCTACCAGGTGTGAGAGAAAGCGTCCAAGTCTGCAGAACGTTGTTGCGCGTAAGAGATAGCAAATTTAAAACAACGGAGGCCGCAAAACGTGAGTGAGAGGAAAGAAAAGGAAAGAAAACTGAACATGCAACGACAACTGTAAAAAATACAGCAAAGAGTTGAAAACGAGGAAAACTCAGATCGTGAACATAAACATGGCTTTTGAGGAGCTCAATACTGACCCCAACCGTCAACGACGCCTCTGACTGTTTGCAGTTTCGTCTCTGGCGAGGTCCTGAAAAGGTTTACATGGTCCCACTGACAGCGGTCGCTATTAGCGCCGTCCTCGGGGTCTGTTGTTGACCTCGCCCTGTCGTGCAGTCAGGGCGCTAGCGATAGACCCTGTATGAAAGGCAAGGCCCTTGTACATGGCATACGTTACTACAGGGCTAGGTGGAAACATTCCTCACCTTCCCTTCAACTCCCTGCACGACTCATTACAGGCGACGTGAGGAAGCAGTTATGATCAAACTCCGAGTCGATAGTAGCAATTGACAACTGCGGGAAAGTATACTTCCATGCCAGAAATGCATCATACAAATTAAAAACCTCCGTGATATACTATAGAAGAGAACATAAACGCACGTCGAGCCATATCAGTACCCCAGATCTCGGGGTGGGTGGTGTTTGAGTTTCGGGACTGTTCTGAGCGATAGGGCTGCCTCAGCCGAGTAAGGTAAAGCAGAAAGAACTCTAGGGTAGGGGCGGACACGTACCTGGACCGAGTCCACTTGCAGTACTGACCCACGAGCATTGGACGAACCCCAAAAACACCAAGACAGACTGGTTGCGCTGCCGTACGCTCCTGGTTCCGAGAAGGGGGGAGGGGGAACTAGGCCAACAAACCAGTCCTATGATCCATGGTGTGGCGCTGAGTTCCGAGGGGATACCATATTCTACCAGAATTCCCAAGACGCCTGAGCCACTGTCGCACAACAAAAAAAGTGAAAAGCTGATGAAATTCCTATCCGGCGGAGAAAACTCCTTCGAGCGACCAGGAAATCCGACGAACAAATGTATGATAGATGTGAATGTTCTCCATAGACTCATTAATGTTGAGAACTGAGGCCGAAATGGTCCTGGGAAGGAAGTGAAAGCAGATTTTTTGATGAACGCTGAGGATCTGTTCCAGTGAGAGGAGGAGGATTGCAACGAGATATTGTCAAGGTCAGGACAAGCGCATAGCACTTGTGCGACAAAAAGTTGGTTCGAGCTCAACAAAAAGGTCTGTACGTCGAAGGATCAGAGGAATCAGCAATTGTATTGCTGAGAACGATTTCCGAGAAAGGATGGGTACAACCAGTCACAATGACGAACTTTATGACAGTTGACGCGTGTCCATCGGCGGCTTCACGAACCAGTAAAACCAGAACAAGGACGACGACCCAGAATTTCAATTCGGGAAATTCAAAACTTGTGAATTATTCGGGGTCACTCGCGTTTATCCCGGAACAGTAAAAGTCTGATCTGAAAGAGAACAAGAAAAAAAACAAACAAACGAGACCGCAAGCCTCTTTCTCCCGCGAGCCTAGTGCAGCGCCAGAGAAACCAACAGTGAACACCCATCGGTAAATTCACTCCGATCCCCGAAGTTGTCCATTTGGAGGACTGCCTTGCGGATACCCAGGCAGATAGCGATCTCTCTGTCAATCTTTGTATTTCGGAGTTATGGGATCTGCAAATTGCAATCCCCAAAGCGCTTGCGGAGCGAAAAGGTTTCGTTAGGTTTGTTTTTTTCGAGATCGACATCAATGTAAAGCTCACGGCATAGTAGCTTAGTCCCGATTGACATGGAGGTTGAACACTGCAAGTTCTATCGTAGTATTACGAGTTTGATGGAATATGTTGACGGGGCGAGGTAGAGGGGGGCTCGACCCGACTCGGCCACTTCGGACCTTATCGTGATTCGGATGGTGGTCGGATACACCAAGGTCTGCATGTTCGGGGTGGATCTGCACAAGAATGACGTTGAGGCCATGATAGCCCCTTCATTCAGTGGTCCTTCTGTCATTGCATGTAGCGCCAGAGGCTCTGGCCAAGTCAACATACTGAAGGCAGTCACCCACTGGTGGTATCCAACCGAAACTCCGCCCCTGGTTCTTTTCATCCTTCGAGACTAACGTCAGGATAATCGAAGTTGGACGGTCTTTGTGTTTTGGTACGGAGAAAGAGGGTTGATCACAGTAAAAAATCACGTTCATGACAGCGTAGGATGGGAGATAACGGCGGCGGGGATCCCAGATGTGATAGAGGTATTTTTCGACCCATGCCAACCAGACTTGAGACGGTTGAATGATATGGACTTTTTCTAGAATCTTCAACACTTCCTAACCACCGGATGTTCATGGGTTTTCAGGGAACAGGACGAAGACAATTCACCACTTGAAGTTGAGGTGTGTCGTCACAGGATTCTCCCTTCTCAACTACTCTATACCTGACCGGGAATTGCGCCAGATTTCTACGGATTATTCAAACGTGACAGAAGACTCTTGTGGTGATAGAAAATAATCACCTCCTTTCGAGTCATATCTCCGAAGCTCGTCGTCCTCTCACATAGCGAATATCGTTACATCAACTACAAAAAGATGTTTTTGAAAGGTTCTATGCTGTCTCGCAGTGGGAAAGGGATCTGGCAGAGGTGAGGTTTTGGGGACAAATAACTCTATTTGGTCGCCATAGCTCTCTCGCGCCGGTTTCTGAGATGGGGCCAGAGCTCAAGCCGGTACAGGCGGGTAGTATCTAATACACGAGACTAAAAGACACAAAAATGGGAAAGTGGAAGGATGGGAGAAAGAAAAATCCTCGAATGAGGTTAACGAGCAAATGTGAGGTGTAAGAGAGTTCTCAGGACACGAAGAATCTAGAGTGGGAGAGAGACTTTATACACAGCACGGAATGTGGCTTGTGGCATCGACACCAGCCTTGCCATCGAGACTAACGGTGGCAGGTATCGTTGAGGCCGGTATTGTTGAGGCTGAGACAACTGAAGCGCATGTCTCGTCTGCATAGACCCCGGTCAAACTCGTTTGACCGTCTCATGTATCGCCAGGATGACTGTAAAGATGAATTTGGTAAGCTTGAAGTATCGAATGACCCGCTGGCCTTGCCTCAAATCCAGTTCAGTCAAGGACATGTACACAGTAGCGGATAAAGGTGAGTTTTTTGCCGGCACAGTGCCGGTGCCGGTGTTCGCCGAAGGTATCGGTGTACGTCGGCACTTCCCATGAGAAACTATTTGTTTGCCTCAATTTTTGATTGGAACCTTGCTTGGATCACTTACCGGTCATGAGGTGCCTCTTTGCTTTGACCGAGCTCATGCGGACAAGCTTCTCGTAGAAGCCATTGGACACCAACTACGCAAGCGGCCACCTCTGACCGGGCGCACAACCTATCTTTAGGTACTTATTTGAACGGTGCCTCTGTACCTCTTGACCCTTTCCACACAGAATTTTCTTTTATTTTTACTTTCATGATCTTCCTCTCTGTCCCCGCTTTACCTGACTGATCGTTGACCAGCGCTCCCCGCCGCAGCCCTGAGCCCATTGACTTCTCCAAAAAAGAATTTTACTACGAGGCACCCATCTATTGGGGGCGCATTCGCTCCCTAAGTGACACTCCTCCGCATCCACTGATCAATATAGAAATGATTTCTGGATCAATGCGTCACCAAGCAGTTGAATATAAAATACCTCTTCGCACCGATCATCTTACGAAAAAAAAAAAAACCACAAATAGTTAGGCACTTCGGGACTAGCGGGCCTTCGATGTGGGTGTTAGTACGGCCCGGTTGTCCGTCCCCGCCACCATGTCGCCATAACTAGCCTCAAAGCATTGGCCAACAAGATTACTACGGCCGAAGTCAACAAATTCAAGATAGTCAAGACCTGACTGACCGAGCATGTTTTCCCGTTCCCTGTCGACGCTGCCGTCGTGTCGTTATTCCTGTCAGTTAATCGCCTGCGGAGTGATGCATGTTGGATCGGAGGCGATACTCCACTTGGGATCCTAAATCTCTGTTGGCGGTACTTTGTTTGTTGGAATGCCAGACCCTTGGAGCACAAGTCTCTAAGCGACCAAGAAGACTACGCCTTTAGCCTAAGAAAAATTAACAATAGACCTCACATAATTCAACACACGTACTCTAGAAGATAGCCAGGATGAAAGTATAACAGGCGTTGAACTATGATTACAATACGCTTGGCTGTGAAAACCGCCGTCATCCTGATAAGCGAGACGAAGGCCCATCAAGCTGTGACAAGTGGTTTTTATCATAGGAATGTCAACAAGGGAAGCAATGTTTCCGAAACACAACTTCAACCGGTGTAGGATTGGAATTTCAATCTCTGAAAATTGCAGCCACCGTTGAGCGGGAAAGTTTGATTTCCATCAATGAAGAACTCCTCGGTCAAGCAGGAAATCGGTAAGCGTAGTTGCCCATTAATTCGATCAAGGACTCCAAGGACACGGTCAATGAACGCCAAAGTACCCTCGACTGTGAAACGATTGAAGTAGAG